TACTTCAATTTGTCAAGGATGTCACATTGTTTTAGTAAAAAGAGAGAGTGTTCTTAGGAAATGAAACATTACCACCAAAATTATAAAATATAATAATACCTATCAGCAACTAATGACCTGTAACCAAAATGGATGTGTGAAAGAATCAAACCTGGTGATGAAATATCCCTTAGGAAGAATATTAGGAAGATGTACTCAGCTTACTAGAGTCAGTATTTAATTGGATAGTTACTCTGGCATGTAAATTTCTATTTCTGTTAAAAAAAAAACTGCTGGAGAAGTAGTTTTCCCATATTTGATAGTCTTTGAGTCAAAAAAGCAAATAGAAGCTGATGGTTTGTACACAATAAATATGCTGCATGTTGAATGTGTGTCACACAGAGTCCTGAACAGAGCTTTCACTACATTCACTGGTGAGTGTCACATTGAGTGTTGGAAATAGAAAGAGCTTCAAGAACATTTAACCTAGAATATTTCCTGTATTTAAAACACTACAAGGTAGCAGAAATGCATTCTCTGTCTTTATCATTGACATAAACCCCCTTCTTTATAATAAGCTTTTCAGAAAACCAAGTAAAAATGATTTAAAAATACTCATGGACCTAAGAATATTGATTACACACATAGATCGTGTCTACTCTATGTCAAGAATGACCATGTTCTTCACAGAGCAAAATTAGAGAATAGAAAGAAATATACTAGATTGAGCTATGCGAAACTCCCAAGATTTGATCAGTTTTTATTTGCAAAATATTTTTGTATGATTTAGCTTAATATATGACCACAAAAGAGTGGCAAAAATATTATTAATCTGTCTTATATGTTTGAGATACCAACGAGGAGTTAATTTTCCAGTTTTGCTTAAGAAGTAGACAGAATCTAAATTTGTAAATAACACAAACTTTTTAAAAAGTCCATATGCATCTAACTTTTGACTTTGTTAATTCACTTTTAGGAAATCATGTGGAAAAAAGAATAAAGAAACTTCTATAGTAAAATGAAGAACTTGAGAATTCGATTTTGGTCTCACTATTATCTAAGAAACAACAGTTATAACTACTTAAAAATTTTGTGTGTGATTTAAAGGGCATTTATTTTTTTCATCTTTCACCTAACCACATCCTCAGAGCTTTCCAAAATCCAGGTGCCACTTCAGATGCTTCACATTAAATGTCAGATCATCTATTGTCTATCACACTGGATTTTCAATCTGTTGTTAGTGCTGTGGAGTGGATTCTGACCCCTGGTGACCCTGTGGACAGCAGAGCGGAGCCCTGCCCCGTCTTTGTGCACCATCCTCTCACCTACTGGTGCTCTGTCAGACAATACTCCTCTGCTGTTCACAGGGTTTTCATGGCCAATTTTTTTGGAAGTGGGTGGCCAGGTCCTTCTTCCTAGTCTGTCTGCTCTAGAAGCTCTGCTGAAACCTGTCCACCATGGGTGACCCTGCTGGTATTTGAAATCCTGGCAGCATAGCTTTCAACATCGTTGCAACACGCAGCCACCACAATGTGACCACCAACAGACCGGTGCTGTGGTTCCCTGACGGGGACACCAATTGGGGCTATAGTGGGGAGAGTGCCAGATCTTAACCACTAGACCACCAAGGCAGGCTGGCTTTTTAATACTAGTTTAGTGTCATATAATTAGAGAGAAATTTAACTTCCAGGAAATGAAATTGTGCGAATGCTCAGTTCTTTATTTTAAAGCTCCTACCTAATAAGTCCTCAGTCTCAAGGAACTCGTGAGGGAAGCCACCATCCTTCTGCTCAACCTTATCGAGTCCTCCCCTTCCCCAGTGCCCCAGCTACGGTCTTGGGGAATCAGAAGCAGCTGTGGACAGAAACCAGTAATTGTGGTTCAACAGGAATCCATGAAAGGTCAGCAGCCACAGTCTGATCTTCCTCCTTTCAGATGGGCACATGTTACATACGGAAGTCTCCACAGAGGCCACAGGGAAGGCTGAGCAGAAAGAAGAGAGCTGGGGTGTGTTTAACAAGGCCACCTCCGTGAGCATCCTGGACGGACTTCAGGGGCTCAGGCGGGGTCTTGCCTCTCCTTTCCTCATCACACCATGTGGAAAACCTGGACACCAAATTCATAAGAAACGTGCCAATCCACAAATGGCAGGGTTGGTTTTTGTTTACTAAAATTAAATCAGAAAAATCTCTGAGAGTGTAATTCAGTAACTAACGGACACCTGAAATTGAGTTCATTATCATCTCAACGGCAAAACAGGGTCTCTTCATAGGTAGATGTTTGTCTGTTTGTAAAACGCTTTACATTAACTTCATTCGATCATTAGTAAATTTAAGGTACATAAAATCCTGCCTTACTGTTGAGGAAAAGAAGCCTAAATGGATTAGATTTGCCCAAGTGGACATAGCAAGTAGCAGAAATAAAAACTAAAATTCTTCTTCTCTGACTACACACACATCTCTCTTCCCTTTATATTATGGAATATTCTTAATCTGCTATGCTAAACATATTATGGGGCATAGGAAGGTCCTCATGGAAACTTGAACACTGTTTGCATCATGCTGTCCTTTACTCCCTGACTTTTGGAAACCTGGCCACAGTTAATTCCTGTCATGATGTGACGTTTTATTGCTTATGATCATGGTCACTGAGGAATCAGTGACAACCCTGGACACTCTAAACAGCCTGTCTAAGGGAGACAAAACAAAACAAAACAGATTCAACCAACCAACAAACAATGCAAATAAATAAAAAAGCAAAATAGGGCAAAACCAAAAAATGAAACAAAAAATACAAATAACAAAACAAAAAACTGCTCAAGAAATCCAGTTTTCGCATCACTATGCTAATCGCTAATAAAGAAAAATTAAATTATTTTTCTGCATTCTTTTGTGCCCTGTGCTATTGCAATGAATAGAGTACTGATTTGGAGAAAAAAGATAAAACCAAGTTTAATTTTTTCTTTACATATTTCTCTCCTGCCAGTGTAAGAGTGAATAATCCTTTAGCTTTAAAAGTTGTTAGAAATTTTGGTGGTAATTTAAGGAAAATATCTAAGTTAAAAATATAAAAATCTTGAGTATTTTGTATTTTCTCATCCTACTGCATTGCCTTCTTGTATATTAGAAAACTAAGCCCTGGAAACATAATTTTTTGACGGTTTCTTTGCCGACTTTATCGGTGCTCAATATTCTGTCTAAGTGTGTTTTGAGAAAACCATTACCATTGATGACTTAGCTAATTTTGCTAAATGCTTTTTGTGTTTTATAGCAATATAGTGTTAGCATTAAGAATTCAATTCACTTTTAAGTCCTCTTTGGGTTGAAAAGAACAGATGTAAATTGCAATTAAATAAATTGTTGTTATTGGGGTGAGGTGTGTGTAACAGTATTACCAAATAAAGATGTTAGTCCTCGCATGGAATAAATAATGGAAATTGGTCAGCTATAATGTGTAAGGTCAATTAATTTAGTCTTCCTAACCATGAAGACATTTGTAGGCAATTCCAAGAATGTTAAAACTTTGGATCTCAGAAAAAAATGCGGTGCTAAAGATGTAAAAGTTGATACACCTGAAGCAAGGTAGCATTGAGCCTTCATTGGGAAGACAAGAATATTGTGCGGTGGACCCGAGGGACCTTGAGTTAGCTCAGTCAATTAAGTCATGGTTAATTTATGCTGGATTCTGCTCTCCTGAGTCTGTAAAAGCCGAGACTTTAGTTAACCGGCAGTATTTAGTTTAATAAAAGTAAAGTCTTTAAAAATGAATTCTAGAGAGAGAAAAAAGTCTACTACTGAATCGATCAATAGACAGCAAGATTCTCATTTTAATTTGCGTCAATAAAAGTTAAAATGAATTTAGAAGCTAATAAGAAGAGGGTTGCTTTCTTCAAATGGATAACCAAATTTCCCAGATAATTGTTAGCATGGCTTAGCAGCTCTGCCCAGACGTGTGACAAATCGTAAGTATGCACAAGAGCAAAGACTTTCTTTGCAGCCATTCCTGCCACTGGTGATAAGTTCGTGCTCTCTCTGGGTCTAACGTGAAACATTCAGTTGCTAGTACCTTCGGTCAAAATGATTCTGCAGAGGCTGTGAGTAGATTTTGATTACTCTAATTATCTGTCTGAACATAATACATGAGCCTAATGGGCCTTTGTGTATTTAGGGTATGTTGTAAGCATATGTCTGTAGACCTAGCTGGGTTCCTAAACCACAGAGAAAATAATGGAGGCTTATTCAATCTGTTCAAGGGAAAAAGCAAAAATGAATCAAGGAAAATGCCTTAGCTCCAGTCACACAGTGACTCAGACAGTCTAAATATTGTGCAAAACATTTGATTGAGGACAGGAGTAGCACTTAGAATAGATCTTTCCTTGAAAGAAAACAATGAGGGAGGTATGTGCCTGTAGGAATATCTTGGCTGAGGAAGAAAAATTATGTAGCTGATTTGACTCAACTTGTTTTTCTGAAATATTTAATAAATCCTACCAGTGTGATCTGAGTTCTAGAAAAGTCATGAATAATGTCATCTTATGAGATCGACTTTGAGAGAACAATTATTGTGTATGATGCAATGAATGAACTCCACGAGTTCAAATGTTATGCCCCCAAGAATACCACGTGTGGACATTGCTCCACCAAACAGCAAAGGGATTGAGGACATAGGATCTGGAGTCAGACTGCCTGGTTTCAATTCTGATTCTGTCATCTACTAGTTGTGCGATCTTGAACGATTTATTTAACTTCTTTGACTTCAATTTTTTCCATATGTATAATCGAGATAATAATAGTTTCTACCGTATAGGTTATCGAGAGGATAAAATGAACTACATATATAATGCACTTAACACTTCGACGGAGTAGCAGCTCAGGAAATATTAGTTTTAGTTATTTGTTTTCACTTTAATGTCACTTACCATTTGACTTGCAAAGTCTATGAGGTAATATCTGGGGGCCTCTATCAGCTTCTAGAACACACAGTTCCGTTCTGTGGTTCTACATCCTTTGTTTTGTGCTCAAGAAGAGCGAGCAGAATAGGCTGAATTAGAGCCATCTGTTTATGTAAGCAAGAGGCGTCTGGTGCTCTTTTCCTCTCCCTTCCTCTGAGGCAGAGTCCAGGGCAAAGAGTACCATCGCATACGAAAAGTGGTGCTTCCACAAAGAGGTATTTTCAAAAATGATTTGTTATTTCTCCTGAATTTAAACTATGAGCTACTTTCTGTCATTATTTTTAAAATATATCAACATAATGCTGTTATATTTTATGAACTTAACAGTGTGTTATATAAAATGTCTGAGATCGCAACATTTAATGAGGGCCATACTTGAGACTTTTTTCAAACTGAATCTTTTCTATGTGTTCCTAAGAAATCTGGCATCAGGGTCAGATATGAAGTAGCTGTTTAGAAAAATGATGATGAGAAAGACACCCTCTCCATGACTGCAAATGCCTAAGCTCATGTTATCCCTCATGAACCACACGCTTCAGGTAGTGATTGAGCACGGCCATGCGTCCACACAGGCGATGTGGCATCAAGTAAGAAGAATCTCATCTTTGTGACTTGCCATGTTTCATGGCCAGCATGAGGGATGTTCTTTTTTTTTTTGGCCAAAGTCAGTCAGTAGATACTGATGTAGAAGCTCAAATGTGACAGTTTTCAGCAGTAACTATCAAAGTTTCTGTTGGTCTAGAAAATCAATAATGGCTTGCTCATGTTGACTGAAGCGTTAACTGCACAATGGAAAGAAGGTGTTTTGACAACAATGGTGCTCATATTAGGGTCTTGAAAACAAAGCTAAGGCAGGCAATCTGAAAAGTGTTCTGTTTTCTGCAGTGGATGTGAAGATGTCCTCGTGAAATGATAGATGTCTACAGAAAGAAAAATAAAAAAGTGAACTGATTTCTAGGTCTGAAAAAGGATAGATCATAGAAATAACTTTTAAGGCTTGGTTAGGGGCTGGCACCGTGGCCGAGTGGTTAAGTTCACATGCTCTGCTTCGCTGGCCCAGGGTTTTGCCGGTTCGCATCCTGGGCACAGACCTAGCACCTCTCATCAGGCCATGCTGAGGCAGCATCCCACACAGACAACCAGAAGGACCTACAACTAGAATATACAACTATGTACTGGGGGGCTTTGGGGAGACAGAAAAAAAAATAAGATTGGCAACAGATGTTAGCTCAGGGCCAGTCTTTAAGAAAAAAAATAATTGGTTAGGAAAAGAAGACAAAAAACAGAAACACACAGATCTTATATGTCTGTACAAAAGTCAGGCCCTTTTGAAAATTAGGGAAAATGGTAAAAACAATAATTATCCCATGTGCCTAATTGTTACCCAAAACCTTCATTTAAAAGGCTAACATTTTCTTATAAAGGAATACCTGTCCATTGTAAGCAACTTGGAAAATGTTGATGGACAAAAAGAGGACCATGTAAATAATCCATTTTCCAGCTAACTACCTTTGCACCAGCACAGTGCATTTCATAGGAGGCGACTACTGCGATTTCTTCAATCGCTAATCTGCTCAGAGGCCCCCTGGTGCACCTAAAACAAAGCCTACTTTATTTTCCATGCCTCCACAGCCCCAACGGCCTGGCCCCAGGCTCTCTCTCTTTCTCCCTACTTTCCCACCACTCTTCCCCTGGCTTGTTCTGCTCCAGCTCAGGACTGAGCTGGGATTTCTCAAACACACGGAGCACATTCCTACCACAGGGCATCTCCGCGGTTCCTTCACTGGAGTGCTCTTCACTCAGCATCTCACAGCCTTTGCTGTGCGCTTCGTTCAGGTCTCTGCTCAAGCACACCCCCTCAGAGAGGCTCCCCGGACACCCCAACTGAAGCAACAAGGCTCCCTCTCCTTTACCCTGCCATTCCTTAACCTCAGCAGCACTTAGCACTACCTACCTTCATATCGCTCATTCACTTTATCCACCAAAATGTGAGCTCCTTAAGGACGGGAACTTGACCTGTTTTGTTCATAAATGCATCCACAGGGCTGACAAAGCTCTTGACCGATAGTACGCTCTCAATAAATATTTGCTGAGTAAATGAACACCCAATGTTCACATCTTGGTTATAAAAATAAAAAATAATGTTCTACAGTGATTATTTGGGCCAGCCGTTCTTCTAAAAGCTTTATGTGTGTAAACGTATTTAAACCTCCCAACAATCAGATGAGAAAGGTATTATTTTTTCCCATCTTATGAATGAGGAGGTTGAGGCACAAGGATGTTGAACAATTTGCTCAGGATAGAGTTAGGAAATGATGGAACTGGACGAACGCAAGGACTCTGGCCTCAGAGCCAAACGCTCAGCCACCAGTTCACTCTCTCCTTTCTTTCTCTCTCTCACAATACTCAGATGCTCAAATATGCACACACGCGCATTCCTAACAGTGTTTTGGAACACTTCTCCAAATAATTAAATATCCTCGGGCAACATCATTTTATGCCTGCACTGTATTCTACTCTGTGAGTTTGCCAGAGGGATTCTAAATCAAGCTCAGATGATGGACATTTACAGATGTTTTTTCTTTTACTATTAGAATTAATGCTTATTTACTATAAATAAAATTATCAGATAAAAAAGATGTATGTTCTCAAGGCCTTTTTCAAAATTTGTATTACTAAATTGTTCTCCAGAAAAATTAACTTAATATCCATTTCTTCTTATCCTTACAAACCTGGCTATGTATATACATAGTTTTTTTCATTTTAATCATTTTGATAAAATTTTGTATTTGAATTTTAATTATTAATATTTGTCTGCTTTGTAGTGGGGTTGAACATTTTTATAAATTTATTTCTGCAGTTTTGGACTTACCATTTTTATTGAGGAAAATGTTTAAATTTTGTCTCATAGACTTCTAACATTCATGTATTAAGTATAGTAATACTTGGTGATATATTTTGCAAATATTTTTCTAGTTTATAAGTGCCTTGAAATTTTTCTTATCCTGTATTACGGCAAAAAGAAATTTCAGGTATTTTATCATGTGTGTGTGTGTGTATGTGTGTGTGTATGTGTATCTCTTTTATTCTGTGATTACCCACTGGTTTTACATATTTTTAAACACACAAATGCCCTCATGCGTACCATGTTCAGGCTACTTCCGAGTCACTGGTTTTGTTCACGTGCTTTCATTCTGGAACTGAACCCAGGTTTACAAGCTGTGTATTTTGGCAAGTGTTTATCTTTGATACTAAGCAAGTCATTGGGTACACCTAGAATTTCCCCCAAACATGAAGAATTAGCCAAAAGGAACCAATAAAAAGAGACTAACAGTTTAGTTTGCCTTTCACCTACCTATTGACTTTTTCCCTGTCTGTCTTGGATACCAAAGGGAAACAAAGATGGGGGTAAAGGCATGCGAGTGAGAGAGGAGAGGTGCCAGGTCATTTTACAATTTTACATTTTCCCTTTGCCTATCTGATTACTGAGTAATTTATTGTAGAACTGCGCCAGGTCAAAAAAGAAGAGGCATTTATTTTTTCACAGTGGGATGGTGAGCTCAGTTACGGCTAACTTTGTGCCAGGTGTGTATATAAATAGATATGCACATATATTTGCATACATGTAAATATTACATATTTATTACACTACATAAATATTACATATTTATATATAATATTTGCATATATTGTAAATATTTAAAATATGTATACGTTTTTATATACATGTATCACATATATACACACATTATATATATATATGTGTCAATTACAAGTCTATTGACAGATAGATAGATAGATCAATCAATCAGCCAATCACAAAGCTTTTCTTTCTCATCTAATTCCAAGGAGGTTTTCTATATAATCCCTCTCACTCCTGGCAGACATTTCCGTAAGAGGAATACGCAGACATTTTTTTTAGTGCATTTCACCTGTGCCCAATAGTAAATAAGAGAAACAACTCAGGAACAGAAACTCAGTTAAAATATTCTGAAGACTGAACTTTAAAGCAGTGTAAGAGATGCAGAACTCTGTGCATCCACAGCGATGTAAAGAAGTCGGCAAGGCATGAATCCATTCGACACTGACTGTCATGGTCCACTGAAGCAGCCTGAAGAAAGACACAGAATCAGAAGACAAAAGAAGAGGATGCCGAGACCAGAACAAGGACAGAATCTTTAGAGAGCCTCTCCTGAAGCAGGACATCCCCAGTTTCCTAGAGAAAGGGGATAGAGCCAACCTGGAGTCATAACTCTAAAAAATATGCAATTATACTGTGTATTGTGAATAAGCATCTTTAAAATCATTTTTTGGTAAAATACAGGCAGTTTATTCAAAAGAGTAATTTAACTCTTCTCAATAAATAACGATATTTTATGAAGTCCTATGTTAAAGGAACCTCTTTAGGGATTGAAACTACTAAACCCAGTTGGCACTAGAATCACTCCCATTGGTTCCAAGTTAGCTAGCACGGCTGGGTTCCAGACCTCTCAGAATGCCATCATCACCTGGCCCAAGCCACCCTCATCTCTGTCCTGGACCACCACAATGGCCTCCTAATGGGCTTCCCTGGGTCCACACTTGATGCCCCTACACTTTACTCTCCCCCCAACAACAGCCACACTTTAAGTAGGGCTTCCTTCTAGCAAATAGTGCGATGCTACTATTTATCCTACTTTGCAATGACTTAGGAAACTTCCGAGGAAAGAATTCATCATTTTCATAGCACAGTAGAGAAACCAATACCATCTGTGTCCACATCTCTCAATGAATCCAGGACACGATGTCCGGGTACATAAAATTCACCCTCTGCTTCTGTGATCAAAGCATCTTTGCCTGTGTTTCAGGAAGAGATTATTACCCCAACCAGCAATGATCATTCGATGTCAGGTTATAACTATTAAACTTGGTTTCCCTTATCTCACTGGCAAGTCCTAGGCTCTCATTGACGATTTCTACTTCTCTTCCTAATTTTGGAGTATTTCTGTTCACCATCTTCTCCTCTTCTATTCTGGAATTACACCATAGTTGCCTCCCCCAGCCTTGTGGCTTTATATAGCATTTGTACACTGATGAACTGGAAATGTATATCTGGCCTTGGTCTCTTCCTTGAGTGACCATTTTATATGTGCAGGCACATTCAACATCTCTTTTCTCAAACTTTACAAGTCCAAAACACAGTCCTTGAATTACTCCCCGGACCTCTGATGTGTCC